GTCTACAGCTAATGTTTAGACCATCTCCAACCGAAAAACCCATACCCAAACTCATTTTGCAGTAATTGTCCCATTTTGCAGTAATTCATCTCCAACCGAAAAACTCATTCTCAAACCCAAAAGAATATTCTCAGAATATTCTCTTTTACACCAACTTTTATAACTTTTCAATACTACCCACATATTTTACAACTTTACAAATTAAACCAACTATTATTTTAAATTCAATTTGGACTTTATGTAATTAAAATTAATTATACATAATAAAATCGAAGAAATAAGTATTCATTAAAAATTAAAATTTCAGCACACAAATAAAATTAAAAATTGCAATTCACTAGGTGAAAAATTAAAAATTACAACACACAAGATAAAATAAAAAGTTACAACGCATAAGATAAAATTAGAAATTACAATGCACAAGATAAAAATTTAAAAATTACAACACACGAGATAAAATAGAAAATTACAACAATAACGTAAAAATAGATAGTCTTTTAAGTCTCCGAGTTGGTGAATTCTTCCCACAAATGATCAATTAGTGCATTTCGAAGTGCAATATGCTCATCTCTATTCCTAATGTTTTTGTTATTTAATGCAGTGTTTTCTTTTATTGTTAATTAAAAATACCATAAATAATATGCATATTTATATTATTATTGTGAAATGTATAAAATTAAATGATAGATATAATATTTATTATTTAAATATCATACTATCTAATCATTATGAAATTAATTTTCTTAATATTTTACATTATTATTATTATTTTAAATAAATACATAAGTATTATCTATAATTTAATTATCATATAATCTAAATTAAATGAAGGGACTAAAATATAAAGTAAATAAATATATTTTATCATTGTTAATATAAATAGTGATAATATTTTGTAAATATAAAGCAAATAGATATATTATATAAAATATAAGAAACACAATTCATAATCAAAAGGGGCCAAAATACATATAACAAAACTTTTTGTGGTCAAAACACAATTCACAAGAATTTTTGCGTATGTGAACAGTACAAACGCATATTTGCGTTTGGGAGAAGAGAGAGAGGGTTCAGATCGCATTTTGCGTTGCAGTTTCGGCAACGGTTGGAGCATTTTTTCTCAAATTTTCCCGTTGCAATTGCGTATGCGCACCGGTTGGATTTGCTCTTAGCAACACGAATTTCTTCTGCCTTTTTCTGTAAGAAAATGGCAAAATTTAATTTTAGTCTGGTTTAACGCCCGTAATAAATTTAGTCTTAATATTTTAAATTTTTGTCTTTTGATCTTGTAATTTTAAATTTTGTTACATTTCAGTCTTAATGGACTGAAATTTCATTGAATTTTAAAATCATAGGATCAAATAGCAAAAATGTTCAACTCTTAAAACTAAAAAGGTCATTGGATCAAACCAACAGGATTTTTTTTTTTTTTTCGAAACGATATAATTCATTAATAAAACCACATACTTACAACCGACTCACTAGCCGAAATAGGGAGACCTACCAAAGGTAGCCTAATAAGCCACAAAACAAACACACAAATAAAAAAACTCCTAACGGAAGAATACCCACTCCCCAGCGGGAGAATATACACACTCACCAACAGGAGAATACACATGAGAAAACACAAACACACACTACAACACAACACAAACAAAAGAAACAAGACACAAAATTAAAATGAAGCCCTTGCCCCAGCAGCTAAGCCCACACGAACAACATCGAAGACGCTAATCCACACGAGCGACTACCCAGATAGACAGAGACCCGATCCAAGCCCCAAAACTAGAAACTGTAGATAAATCGCCTAACTAGAACCGAGACAAAAGACCTTGCCTCTCGCCCCAGTAGACAACCCGCAAGCGGAGATCCAATACAAAACCCCATCTCCAAATCCCGACGACCCGGGAACAAGGCACGGGCCCAAACCCGACCCTCCAAAGCCAGAGAAGAACGGGAAGAGGGAGGAGAGTGGAACCAACCCGATCTCAGCCCCCACCGCCAACAAGGGAACGATCGGAGCCGCAACCCTCTCTCACACACTTGTCGGACGTCCGCCACCGCCTAGACGCCGAAAAAACGACGAACCACGACCCACCTTGGCGACCGAGAAGAAGGCAAACCCAAGGGGAGAACTCGCCACCTCACCCAAAGCAAAGAACGACGTCGAGCGAAGGCCGCCGCCGAAATGGCCCGGAGGCTTGCTGGGGGAAGACACACGACGACTGCGGCGGATTTAGTTTTTGAAAGAGGTAAGGGGAAAAGTCTAGGAAAAAGGAAATAGATTGTATGAGATGTTTAATCCGATAAACAAACACAAACCAACATGACTAAAATTACAATTTTGCCTAATAAAATCAACAAGAACAACGTACAATTTCTTTTCCCTAACGTACAAACCTGGAGAAGTTTTTTTATGTTTTTACTAAGACACCCTTCATAGAAGATTGGTCAAATGAAGGGCATAAATGGAAATTGCTCGTAGCCATGGAGATAGACAGATATATAGCAAATGGTCATGTTGCATTAAATTTGTAAAAACTAAAAATAATTAATACAACCAAAAAATTTAGGAAAGCCACATTTTACTGCAAGAAAACGGTGAACAATAACATTTGAACTGGGATTTCTCATTGAAAAAAAAAAACTCTTTTTTTTTTTTCTCCCAAATTTGCCAGGAAATTCATCGGTGCTCTCTTTTTTTATTCAGATCTCTTGATCACTAACCTTCAAATCGGTTAGATTTTCTGTAATTTTTTTGTTAGTTTTCGTAATCTCTGTCTCTCGATTATCCCTTTTTGTTTTTAGAGAATCTGATGGTTGTTGGGCTTTAATTTATGCAAAATAATTCATCCATGCAATGCTTATAATTTTATGTTAGTGATACATTTTTTTTTTCATGGGTTTGTGTTTGATTGTCGTTTTGATCATCATTTCAGTTTTTAATTTCGTATGATGTCCAAAGGTAGGGTTTTTACATTTTTTTTTTTTTAATCTTTTTTGGCTTACCCAGGAGTTTGGAGTAACTTATTGGATTTTGTCGGTGCAAATTCTCGAAAGCTTGAAACCCTTTTCATGTTAAGAAGGTAAAAATGTCATCTTTGCTTTCTCCTGTGTGTGTGTGTGTGTGTGTGTGTGTGTGTGTTGATAGGTTTATGATGCCTCTTGCATGTCTGACCATATCTCAATATAATCAAATTGTTGCTTTGCAACGCGGGTTTTCTGTATCTTGTTTGCCTTCTGTTTAGTAAGACAGAAATATATATGTTATATAGTTGATCAAGGTAATTTTAATGAATAACAAGAACGATTGCAATCTAATAACTTTTGCTTCAATCTCTTCCTTTCGTTTTGTTTTGTTTTGGTTTTGTTTTGAGCCCTTTTTGTGTTTCTCTTACCACTGTTTCTCTTGGGTTTCATCTCTAGGCTACCCCAACTTGTTTGGGACTAAAAGGCTTTGTTGTTGTTGTTGTTGTTGTATTGCAATCTAATAACATCCCTGTTCTCTTTCTTGATCGAACTGGTAATTCAGTCTACAGACATATGCTTGTTATGTGGACTAATCAAATAATTTCAACTGTGCGAATTTCGTGTTGTAAGATATTACTGTATATTATGGAATGTTTAGATCGTGGGCCTGGATGAACGATTGGCTATGGTCATTTTTGGGTTCCACGGCAAATTAGGATTTTTGAAGTCGGTTTAGACAAAAGGAATTGATAGTTTTAGGTAATCTACTGATTTATTGAACTTTTTTATCTTTTGTAAGTGTGATGGCACGTGTCAGTGAAAATTGGTTTTTTAAAGCGTGATATATTCGGGCCTTGTTTTCTTTCAGTTGTTGGATCTCCTGGTTTCGGTCATTTTTTTCCATATATAGAATGTAATGATTAGTAATAGTGCAATTATGATAATGTATCATTATTTTGTTACAATGCGTGATCTTTTCCTGTTAGAGCTAATTTGTTTGTTTGGAGCTGTTTAAGCATATGTTTTGTATGAAAAGTTGAGTTTGAATTCAACTCGAGACATCATCCTGGTATTCATTGATTTTGCTATGTTGTTCTTTGTTTAGCATGCAAGATTTTCCGATCCTTTCATACATGTACAGTGCGTCTTGTTGGAATGAGTCAAAAGACTAAACGAGCTAGTTAGTTCAAAATTGCTGTTCTGTTCAACTGCGTAAAATCAATTGTATGTCGTGAAAAGGTCAAATGGAGTTGGAAAGAAAACGAAGAGGAAAAAAATGGCCAGAAAAGAATTTGATTGAATTCCTACACAATCAGTAACTGTTATGTTCTTTCCATGGTCTTTGTTTAATCAATTATGTAATTATTTTGTAACTTCTTTTACGTGGCATTATGAGTCATCTCCAAATGAGCTGTATTTGCCCTAGTTTGGACGTGTGTAACAATACACGTGTGATACGAAGGACAGTAAAGATTCTCTTATTTATTACTGTGGTTGAGATCTTAATTGCTTTTAGAAGATGAATCTTGATTGAAGAACAAGGATGATCCATGTCTAAGTTCAATACGTTCTGGCCTAATGAGTTCTTTTATGCTTTACATTTGAAAATCTGATCTTCAAAATATCTGGTGGTATCGAAACTTTCTATTTTGCCGTCTTCTTTGAATCATGCATTACAGACATAATAATTGATTATCCACTAAGCTGTCTTCTCAGGTGGCTCGATTTCTCATATCTTAATTATCAGCATTTATGGAGATGCTTTTCTTCAATTAATTTTTGTAATAGGCTCGAGTTCTCGTATTTAGAACCTAACTTATTAGGTTATAATTTCACGTTGTCGACTTAGCATTAGTAGCATTACTCGTGGGGATATTTTTCTTCTAGCAAGTGGAATATTGACTAGCTATAACAGGCTTAACAGCAATTTACTAATGTTTTTAGCTTCTAGTACTGTTTCTCTTTTTCTTTTCTTTTTGGGTAAGTTAACCTTCTAAATACATCATCTATTTTCAGGCACCCTGTTCAAAATGGGACACCAAAATACTCGGTTCACTGGTCACATGATTGACGTGCAAACCGATCAGCAAGGCCATCCTCATCCCGAGCCATGCATCTTTTACGGGAATTCGTCCAGCTTCCCTCAGCCCAGTATTCATCCTCACCGGATGTATGGAATGCCACAGCCTGGCCCGAATCTCGATTTAGCTATGGTCACACCTTCTGGCCTTTATAATAATAATAATAATAATCCGTATTTTGTGCCCCCGCAATCTGCTAATTTTATTGCTCAAACCAATTATGGGATTGTTGGTGTGGATTGTGTCGGGGGCCCGTTTAAGGGAAAAATTGCAGAGGGGTATTATGGGAATATCCAGCATCATCATAATCCCTTGGTGGGTCCCAGCTCGTCTGCTGGCCCCTCTTCTGAATCCGAGCCAGCATCGATGCTGCAAGGGGGTTTTGTCGTGCCACCTGTCGGGTTGCCGTGGGTGGACATGCATTTTCGTGCAAACAATGGGGATTTTGGGGGCGCATTTAGATGGGCACGTGCTCCCGTACCGTATGTCAATGGTAATTGTTTGGATCTCAGTTTGTTGTATCTTGTTCTTTTGCGATTCACTTGTGAATTGATTAACAGAAAAAGAAAAGAAAAAGGAAATATATTATCTGTGGATTCTGTGCTGAGGAATTAATTCTTTAGTTAGTCGAAAATTTGTCTAAGTTCCAAAAAGGGTCAAATGTAGCTTTTGAAAGTTGCCAATATGTATTCAAATCTTTTTTGCTTGTCTGCACCCTTAGCAAGTAGTTTTTTTTTTTTTTAAAAAAAAAAATAAACTCATCTTTTTATGTATCATAAACTCATCTTTTTGTTCATCTTGTTCTTTTTGCTTTATTTTGTATCTCATCATTCCAACATTAGAGAGAAAAAAAATGTGTATGCCTATGATTGGCTTTCATTTTGTATTACTTGAGTTTCATTAAATATTTATATTTCATTTTTCTGAAGAAATGTTGTGTGCGGTTATATATATATATATATATATAACTTGAAAATTTGATTTTTGTGCTTTGATATATTATGTTTTGTTTATAACAAGATTAAATAAAAAATATATAATTTTATTCATTATGTTCTCTCTCAGCTATTGAAATATCAGCTGGTAACAGAAGTTCGGGTGGTTTTCTGCCTCCACAGTTTGCTCAGGGCCATCTAAATCCTCATCATCATCCACACCCACCAGCGCAAGTGATGAGAGGATATAATAATAGTATTAACCTCCCATCACAAGTATCTGTAACTCCTCCTCACCGTATTTCAACCATTAATGCTTCTTCGAATACAGGCACCACTCGTTTTCAGAATGTTCCAGATGTTAGGCCTGCATTCGTAACTCCATTGCCACCAATGGGCTTCCATAACATGTATCAGCCTCAGCAAAGGGAACTCATGCTCGACTCAAATGTTAGGCCTCACACCTTTCCCCAGTTGAGGGTTTTGCCAGAAGATGTAACATTTTCTTTCCCATCCCCCTTCCAAAAAGAAAAAGAAAAAAAAATTGAACTCATTTTGCAAAGTCCATGTTATGGTTATTATAATAGATAGAGATAATTAATTACTCTTTACCCTGTGAACCATGTCAATTTTTTTAGTTACTGACTAAATGGACTTTTCCAAAGTGCAGAATCTACTATAACGAAACAGTCCCTAATAGCTATCGTAATTGTTATAACAAAGTTTCTCATTTGTGATTCATAGGAAGTTGCCATACTAGAGATGCCTGGTTACCATGAAGCAGGAGACTCGATCGATCACCATAGAGATATGCGTTTGGACATAGATCACATGTCCTATGAGGTAATGACAGTTTTAACGAGTGATTGTGTTGTAATTTAGTGAATTGTTCAGTTGCGTAGTGTTTTTTTTTTTTTCCTTCCGAGTTGACAAATTATGCAAATAAACAGGAGCTACTTGCGCTGGGGGAACAGATTGGGAGTGTCGGCACTGGATTGCCCATTGAATTTGTTCAAAAAAATCTTAAGACAAGAAGTTTTATTACCTCATCAGCAGTTTGCCTAAACTTACGCGATGAGACTTGCCCAGATCAGCAAATAAACTTCTGTGTCATATGCCAGGTATTTTTTGTCTAAAATTGTTCGCCTTTTATATTTTATCAAAGTTTTCTGATATTTTCTTGTTCTTTTTTATATCATCTTCCATTATCTATACTTTGTGCGTCTGTTCGTGAGTTTTTTGGTCTAAAATTAAGTTTTTTGTTCTTTCATTGCCTATATTTCGTTTAATTTCCTGAGCTTCGTATAAAATTAAGCTTTTATCAAAATTACTTACTGCAAGAGATTCATGCAGACCGAGTATGAGCCTGGAGAAAAAATCGGGACGGTTGAATGTGGACATGAATATCACAAGGACTGCATAAACAAGTGGCTGCTCATCAAGAATACTTGTCCAATCTGCAAGTCCACGGCTCTTGGCCGCAAGTCCAAGGCTTCGTAGATCGTGGCCGCTATTATTATTATCTATGGGTGACCATCTTTTTTTTTAAAAAAAAAAAAAACCCTTAAATATTTGGTCCTCCTATCCAATTATTTTATAATCCACAAGAGAAAAAATACTTTTTTCTTGGGTGTATTATATTTATGTGTATATATTTGGCAGAGATATGACTGGCACCTGTTATGTTTTTTTTTTTCTGTTGGGCTCTCTGTCTGGTCTGTCTCTGGAACTGTACAGACTTAGTTCCTATTTGTTTTTGTTATGAATGAACCTTTGTAGATTGAAACTGTACAGACTTAATCTATTTTGGGGCTGTCTTTGTTAAAGAATTGAGGTATGAGCAGCTTCTAGTTTGTTGCACTTCATGAGCTTGCTTTTGCAGGATATTTAGTTGTATTCATTTGGTTTCTATTTTTTTTTTTTTTTTGAGACTTGGTGTATTAGCTTATTTAAGGCTTTTAAAAGTCTCGAGCTATTCATTTGAGATTTTCGAAAGTCTTACAAAACCTTGAGATATTGAACTTAGTTGAGACGGATTTGTTAAGACTTTTTAAAATTTGTTGGAATTTTAAAAGGAAAGCCCATATTTGAAATCAATTTCAAATCCCACCTCTTTTAGACTTAAGATTTTACACGATTCTTCCTAAATTTGAATCTCAAATCTCAAAATGTCACGTGGAATTCTAACAAGTACACCTAGTTTGTCTAATGAACATGTTGAAATTCATTTTATGTGCATAAATTTGGTTTCCTTAAACTAGCGTTTTGAGGTCAAGATTCTTCATACGGAAGGACAACGTCGGGGCTTCTTGACACGCGATCTTCATCATTTCTCCTCGGTGTTCGATTGTGGTCGTCGTCTCCCTCGACCTCTTGTGTCAGGTCGGCGTCGGTGCTCCTCTTTCGGCATCCGGGAGAGACTGGCGAGTGTTTGGGTTGTCCTCCTTCTTTCTTTCTTCCTAAATCCTCTCTTGTTGGCAGGTCTAGTCTCGAGTTTCGACTCCTTGTCGGACTTATTAGTCGTTCCTAGCCGAACTATTTCAGAGTGTTGTTTCTGCATATCATGTTTGTGTTTAGGCTTAAGGTCTTCTAGGTGTGTTGGATTGGGTGGGAGGTGCTCGGTTCGTTGTTGAGGGGAAGTAGGGGAGGTCTTAT